ATGGGCTCTGCAAAGATTCTCTCTAAAGCCACATCTGGACCAAGATCTGATGCTTGGAGGTCAGCCTGTATCAATTCTGTGTGGAGAGGTGGGTGGGGAAATGAATTGGAGTGTGTACCCCAGAAGTGGTCCACCTGGTTTTGAATTCTGGCTCTTTCACTCAGTATTTATGTGACCTCAGACAAGCTACTGAACCACTCTACTTTGGTTTCCCCATCTGCCAACGTCTAGGACTGCTGTTCGGGTAAAGGAGAGAACGTGGTTGGCGCGGGCACAGGGCTCAACCTGCTCAGTGAGGTTGCTGACCTCGGCTGCAGAAGTGGGTCCGAGTGCAGACCTGTGAGCACTCCTTACATTCAGACAACCAAGCAGATGAGCCTCACATACCAGACACAGAGGACTTACAGAAACTGAGTTTTCTCCTTTCAGGTTTTAACACCTGCTGGTGGGTGTTGAAGCAGCTTTTGCCAGAAAGGCTGACTTAATAGTGGGCTCTGGGGTAGAAAATCACACTGAATGGCAGGTTGGGCCCCTGCTTCTGCTTATTTAATTTTTTTTCTGGTGGAGAGAAAATGAGCACCATGCAGATTATTTTGTGAAGGAGAATAGCCTGTGGGGAAATCTGGGTGTGCAAAAAAAAAACCCAAAAAAAACCCAGCCACAATCAAGCCTGCCAAAGAACATAGAGTAACTGAGACAGCCACAGCCCCTCCTGTGGGTTCTGCCGAGGTGTTCACAGTTGCTGTTCAACAAAAGGCCCTTCGAGAAAAGGGCCTCATGGTCAAATAAGCTGGGGCAGGGCAGGATTAACAAGGTTAGGCCTAACTCTTCCCTAAAGGACTTCTAGTTTTTAACATGCTAACGGAAATGATGAATTTCTCAGGGGGGCAGGTATGTTTCACGGCATCTCTCCAAGCTAGTTTGACCTTGAAAACCTGATTGTTTTATTGCTTTTTGGCAAGCACCAGGTGGGAAAGTATGTTTTAGTGGATGAGCAAAGGACAGTTCATTCCTCTCTGACTAGTAGACACCAGGCTTCTCAAATCTTCTTCCTTCCCCAAAGAGTCCCAGCTCAGAGGTTGGGCCTTGTTTCTGAGGCTTCCACTTCATGTAATTCTTAAAGGGAAGATGGATATTGACCTGAGACAGCTAAACACATGATAAAAGGAGATGCTCTTAGTTAGTCTATAATATGACTTTATAATCCCCTTTTGAGATATGTAAAATTTATTTAGACTTGAAAATATTTTATTCATTTTACTGCTTATTTGACCAGTCTCAAAAGGCAGTTCATGTGCTGTATTTTATACTTGGTGTAATATACAAATATAAGATATAATACAAATATTGTATAAATAATATGCAATATAAAAACAGATGAACAATTCTTCAAAGAATTGCCTTAGTTATTATAATTATGATCTCTGCAACCACAGTTTGCAGAAAAAGTACAGAACCTGGCACAATGAAGGATTAAATATTAATTATGTACATGTTAACAAACTTTAAACTTCAAGTCAAGATCTTAGTATACAATTGATAACTTCTAGAGTCTTTAGAGATGTAACATATAATGGATTAAATTCCAAACTGAGATAAACTAAGATAATATAGATCTATTCCCCTAAGAGTCTAATGCCAATAGTGTTATTCAAATGTGACTCTATTAAAGTTTCATTTTATGCTGTCTTATAAGTATCTGGAATTATCTGCATTTTTGGTGACATTTATTTTCAAATATTCTTTCATTGTTTTACAGGAATATGAATCTCTCTCATGACTGTAAAATTCCTGCTTCAAGAATTCTCCTCTATATTCTAGGTGACTAAATTAGTTGGATGAATTTGTGAATAAATTAACTTAAGATTTACCTTTGGAAAATAGAAAAATGCAATTATTTCAGCGTACATTTTTGTGGAATTAGAAGGCTTAAAAAAGTAGTTTTTTTCTTTTAAAATGTTTTCTCTGGTATTAAAACAATATAAAATACATNGACTGTAAAATTCCTGCTTCAAGAATTCTCCTCTATATTCTAGGTGACTAAATTAGTTGGATGAATTTGTGAATAAATTAACTTAAGATTTACCTTTGGAAAATAGAAAAATGCAATTATTTCAGCGTACATTTTTGTGGAATTAGAAGGCTTAAAAAAGTAGTTTTTTTCTTTTAAAATGTTTTCTCTGGTATTAAAACAATATAAAATACATAATTATCAAACAATGCTGTTTATTCCAGGAAAGAAGTCTTGATGCATCTTTAATCTCCAAAGGATTCAGTGCAGGCTTTTAATTTTCTGGTTGCAGACTCTGTGACCCTTTTCCTACCGGATGAAGAATTTGTTTTGCCTGTAGGCAAAGAATAATAATCTGTTGGTAGGACTTCAAGTCTAGACTATCTCGGAATGCTCAAAGAGTCCTTCCAGTACTTAGATTTGATTGATGAAAGCTTTAGTAGTTAAAGGATTGGGTACAGTGGACAAGTAGGAAGATAAAAGAGGGAAGGGGTTGTGGGGGGACAAAGTACGACAGACCTGAGGAAGCCTACCCTGAATCGGAAAGCCCACTCCTGAAGTTTATTGGAGGATGAGGTTAAAGGGAACTTTCCGATTTAAGAGAGGAGGGAGTTCAGGGGAGGAGACCTTGAGTGCAGTCTCTGAGATGTTAGTCCTGCGGACTCTATGGGATAGCCAAGCAGGAATAAGGAGTAAGTCGCTGCTGCTGTTGTTCAGTCCCTCAGTCGCGTCTGACCCTTTGAGATCCCCTTGGACCAGAGCATGCCGGGCTTCCCTGTCCTTCACTCTCTCCCGGAGTTTGCTCAAACTCATTGAGTTGGTGGTAATAAGCGGACAGATGAAAACACAGCTTTGGGGTCAGGAGAGATCTGGGAAGGACATGCAAGTCTGGATCTGAAAGTCTTTCTAAAGAACGATGGTGGTGGAGTAGGCAATGAGATTACTCCAGAAAACCCTGGAAGAGTTGTGCAGCATGGATGCAGAAGAGGAGGGGGTGCCCACCAAGAGCCTGGGATGGACTGATCAGACAGGACGAAGAGAAACAGGGAAAACAAACTGAAGAGGCCGGGATGGGAGCGATGCCAGGGAAGAGAGTGGGCTGTCAGAAAATGCCGCACAAGAGGCCAGAAGGATCGGGACCAAGGCAGCAGCTCCATCTGGCAGTTCTTGGGGAGGGATCTAGTACATTATGATGAGTGAGCAGCGACTGGGAGCTGATGGGGTGGAGGGGAAGAACACATTTTCGGTGGTGTTTAGGGGGGAAATAGGTTAGTTTATTAAAGGGTGTGTAGTGTATGAGGAATTTTTTTTTAACAGATTTTTGTTGAGTAAGAGACAGGAGGAGTGGGAGATATAAACAGAAAAGCCCGGTAAACACTTGTATCCCAGTGGTTAGAATTATATATCAGAGATGGTAAGATATATAGGCTTCTGGTCACCTGACTAGGAATGGCCACACAATAGTGTAATACTGTTAGGTTCCTGCTGTAACATCCTGAGTCACACTGAGAGCAGGGACTGAGACCGTGTCCCTGCAAATGTCAGGTATAAATAATAGGTATAAAGGAGGATTAAACTATTTTACAAAGGCAATACCAAAGAATGCTCAAACTACCACACAATTGCACTCATCTCACACACTAGTAAAGTAATGCTCAAAATTCTCCAAGTCAGGCTTCAGCAACATGTGAACCGTGAACTTCCAGATGTTCAAGCTGGTTTTAGAAAAGGCAGAGGAACCAGAAATCAAATTGCCTCGACTA